GATTATGTGTAACTTTGTTTGTGTAATGTTTGCAAATGTTGTTGAATATTTTAGAGATGTTTACCTTACCATCTTGAGCAAGAGGGCGAGCCGATCCTAATAGGAATCTTTGGTTCGCTAGTTATGGTAAAAAACAGAAGTGAGACCTTTTTAGAACTGCAATTCAAATATCTTGTTTGGTTAAAGAAAGGGAATTTGAAGGAGGTGTCTGGATTGTAAGATTGTTTCTATGGGATTTTGAATCTAAGAAGGAATTTATATTATGCTTTTGGTTGTGGGGACCGGGGACATTATCAGTTTCATCAAACACTTTGAAAGAACGGGTTTCATATCCACCGGTTGCAACTCTTCTTTTATTACTCTAATACCAAAAATATCAGACCCGACCTGTTCAATCTGGTGGATTATCGACCCATAAACCTAATCGGATGTTTGTACAAGATTTTAGCCAAACTCCTTGTTCGCTTAAAGCAAGTGGTTGGCTCGGTGGTAGATAAAGTGCACTCAGCATACGTCGAATGCATAAACATTCTCGACGGACCCATGAACGAGATTTACTCATGGGCCAAAAAGAGCAAAAAAAACAAGATGTATTTTCTTAAAATGGATTTTGAAAAGGCCTTCGACTCTGTTAATTGGCAATACCTGTTTCCATCATGTACCAAATAAATTTTGGGTATAAATAGAGACAATGGATGTTGGGCTGTTTATCCTCCTCGAGAACCTCCGTGTTAGTAAACGGATCATCCATTGAATTATCTAAACAAGAGGGTTCTGTCAGGGAGATCCTCTCTCCTCGTTCCTTTTTATCATTGCAATGGAGGGCCTGAGTATTGTTGTCAAGAGTGCCAAAGAAAACTCCCTGATACTTGGGGTTAAGCTTCTTTTCAATGGTCCACACTTATCTCACTTATTCTATGCGGATGATGCCATTTTTGTAGGTGAGTGGGATAAATCGAGTATCAGAAACCTCTCGGCAATTATGAAATGTTTTCATATCTCATCAGGCCTAAAGGTCAATTTTCTTAAGTCATGGTTATTCGGTATTGGTACCTATGATACTGAATTGAAAGACATGGCTAGAATTATGGGGTGTGTAGAAGATTCCTTTCCATTCAAGTACTTGGGTGTACCTGTCCGGGCAAATATGAGACTGAAAAAGCATTGGAAACCCATCATAGACAAGCTAGAACTCGTCTATCTGATTAGAAAGCAAGATTTCTTTCCTTTGGGAGTCACATTACTTTAATCAAATATGTCCTAAACAGCTTGCCTAATTACTTTGTGTATCTGTTTAAAACATTCTTTGGAAAAAATCAGAAGAAATTTCATGTGGGTGGTGGTTATTTAAAATGCAAGATACATTGGATCGACTTGGTCTAAAATCACAGCCCATATCTCTCAAGGTGGTTTGGGGCATCAACTCTAAAAGCACAAAACTTGCACTTTTAATCAAATGGTAGTGGTGACTGATAAACAAAAAAGGAAGTCTTTGAAATAATGTCATTACAAGTCTACATAATTTGAGTAAGAAACCAACACACTTCATTGTTGGTAAAACCTCCAATTGGGTGTGGCACAATATCCAAAGGGCTATTAAATCCTTGGGTGATCTAGGTGTCGATTCTCACAAGATATTCAAAATCGTTCACGGATTAGATATTCATATCTTGTTTTGGAAATACGTGTGGTGCGTTCCGTCCCGTTTGAAGAAAAGTTTCCCCATTTATATAAGATTGAATCGGTCAAATGTTGTAAACTTTCTGATTGAGTATCAGCAAATGGTTTTACGTGGTGTTGGAACCAGTCACCTTCCAACCCATCTGAACTCCACGAACCGGTTCAACTATACAAATATATTGGTGACCTGAATCACTCAAAGGATTCTAGATCCTACGGTTTTCGTTTTATGCCGACAAAAAACCGGTAATTACGTGGTAAACTGTATGAGGTGTATCATAGGCTCGAAACTGATCCCCTTTAAAGGGTTGCACATCTGCTAGTCAAAATTAATACCATTAAAAGTTAGGTGTTACGTGGTAAACTGTATAAGGTGTATCTAATAGCACGTGAGCTACAAGTATCAAATTAGATGTGCACTTTATGCAACAAGGATGTCGAATCGGGGAATCATCTTTTTGTGCACTATGAATTCGCCAAGGAGGTTCACTTCAAGATTTTTAAATGGTGTGGTAGTATTGTTCAAGGGTTCTCCGGTGTTATTGAATTTCTTAATACAAGAACTATATGAGACAATTGTCAAAGGAAGAAAGTGATTGGTGATGTTATTCTATTTGGAGTGCTATGGTACATATGGTTCGCCATGAACGATAAGATCTTCAAGAATATTCGAATTGATCCATAAAAGGTTGTGGATGATATTATGTCAAACTCATACTCTTGGTGTGACCATAGGAGTCACCTGAATTATGGCGGTTGGGTTGAGTGGAGTTGTTCGCATTTGCTCGTTTATCTACTTCCCCCTTTTAGTTTTTGATTTTTCTTTGTTTCTTCTATGTTTTCATTATCTTTCTGTTTGTACTGTTTATTCTGTCGTGCTTTAGTTACTTGTTAATCATGACTTTTTAATGATATTTACCGTTTTTTTAAAAAAAAAAAAGATATGAAAGTGTTAGAATTTTAATTTGAATTTATCTAAAAGGGTTTACGATTATATATAGTAAGTATTTGTTTGTTTTATATTTAATTTATTGAAATAAGTTATAAAAATGATTAAAATAATGAAATCACCTTTCTTTTCTTAAAAATAAAAATATACATCTATTTATCTATCTCTTATAAAAAAGATTATGTAACGCCTCTTCCAGACATCATTTAATTCCCTATGTTTTTAGGGTTTTGTGTTAGAACTCAACGAGTTGGGGAGCTCCAACTCGTCTAATATAGATCATTTATGAGGACACGAGATTTAGATCCTACTCGACGAGTCGGAAGGCCCCGACTCGACGAGTAGACTCTGTAAAGTAAAACCCTAATTTTCAGGGGTTTGTACCCTATTTAAAGAACTTATGGCTTATTTGTAACCTCTTTCATTGTTCTTACAATCCAGAGAGAAACCTTAGCCGCGTTTTGATGCTTTCTTGAGTGTGTGTGAGCCTTGGAGAGTGAAACTTGTGCTTTTTAGAAGGAAACTTGAAGGTTGAGGAGATTGAAATGAGGAGAGGACTTTGGATCCGGTATCTACCTGTTGTTAGCATCCATTTGGAGGTAAAAGTTGCTACCTTGATCTCTATTTGCTTAGATCTCATCTTATGGAAGAATATTGTCACTTTTGGTGCAAAAATGGTGTCATACTTGGATTTGGACTTGTCATGAGGATATGGTTCCAGATCTGGACACCTTTAGGTCTTTCATGACATAAAGTTGCTTCATTTACCTAGTCTAAGCCCTTTTCCATGTCCTAAGCGTTGTATGAACCTTAGTTTTAGTGTTCTAGCCTTTTGAGGCCTTGCATGCACGTAAAGTTTGCAACATTACGTGGTAGCTACACCATAAGGGGTTAGATCTATAATTTGGAGCCTTAGATTCCACTGGAAAGGACTGAACATAAAGAGGGCTGAAGGGACTCGACAAGTTGTTTAGCCAACTCGACGAGTTGGGTAGGGTTTTCCCGTTTCCAGGATCCTAAGTGATTTCGGTGAGCTGATTAAGAGATTTCAGTTTAGAGTTGTCGGACCTTGGACATTAAGGAACTCGACGAGTTACTCAGGTGACTCGGTGAGTTGACTTGGGATTTCGGTTGTATGGACTCTGAAGGAACTCGACGAGTTGTTGGATGCACTCGACGAGTTAGGGTCAACATGGACTGTTGACCTTGATTGTTGACTTGGACTTTAACCAGGATTGACCAAGTTTGACTTTGAGGGTATTTATGGTATTATGAGATTTTGACAAGTTAATAACATGATGATTATAGGCAGTTGAGTTGGAGGTGCGTGTTGGGATTTATCAGATTTTATCTTATCAGTTCGGCATTGTTGAGAGGTGAGTCTTCTCACCATACCAATGGGACCAAGACACAATGCGACCCATTTTATGATATATATATATATATATATATATATATATATATATATATATATATATATATATATATAGTTGATTAGATGATATTTCGCTATGACACTTGTATGGAAGTCCCCGGGGGGTCCCCGTGGCAATATGTTAAGACCATGAGGATGTTCCTATGACATTTGGTATAAGTCCTTAGAGGATTTCCACGGCTACCTAGTATGTTTACATGTTTAGTTCGTATGATATGTCTATAATTAGGGAAGACTGTGTGGAGGAGGTTCCCACGACAGTGAGCCAAGACCACGTGTGGATTCCAGTGGCGGCTAGTAAAGACCACGTGGGGGTTTCTTGTGACACTTGGTGTAAGACCTTGGACGGTTTCCACGACATCCTTATATGTTTATATGCATAGCTTATGTGGTTTATGTAGCTTTTGTAGCTAATATGATTATGTGATTATGTAGATTGTGTGGGGTATGCTCTGAGGAACCCACTAAACATTAACTTGATGACGCGTCATGCACTCTATCAAGCGTTTTTATGGGACACTCTGATGTTTGGAATAATATTATTGATGTTATGAATTTGAAAACAAATGTACTTGAGATTTTATGGTTTATTGGAAATGTTTTTGACTATTTAAAAATGAAAATTTTCTTTTGAAAATTGGATTGCTACAGATTATTCAAATGAATGTGGTTCAAGATACACTATCTATCTAGAACCAATTTATTTGAAACTCCCAAACATTTGCTTCTCCTCTCTTTTTATTTTCATTTATCTAGAGTGGATGAAAATGAAAAAATCTTCAAATAGGTTTGCTTTAGAGATTTATCTAGAGTGGATGAAAATGAAAAAATCTTCCTTCTATTTTCTTTAAATTCCATAAAAAGTTTATTGTGTACAAGAGCCAACCTAACAGTTTTTGGTATTTAGAGATTTGTCTTTTGATGTTCTCTTTATGGCTTTCGGTGATGAACAAAAAGTGTATTTTGATGGCTTCTGTTGATATTGTTCTACAGTTGTCTTGTTCATCGAAACAAACTTGGAAACATCTGTTCAGAAAAGCCAAATCACAAGAACCCACTTCAACCCCATTTACCCAAATAATATTCACATCTCAATCAACCACAATTGAAGACAACAACAAGATCACCATTGGACCTCAAAAAGCATCAAATTAGAGAAAAAGATAAAGATTCAGGAGTAATCTACTATGGCCCATAAAAAAGTAAAACTTCTTTCTTCATCACCAGACATGAATGTGCAGTTACATCATCTGTTAGTTAACAAGGAAAATAAATGTTGCCAAACCAAGACGGATTTATTGGATTTTTTTTTTTTTTGAAAGCAAGTCACTTTAGGGTCTAATTGTAAGTGTTGACATTTTTCAAGAAAATCAATGTCTTATTGCAGCAAGCAAGTTCTTCAATTTCAAGAAAAAGCAAGTTTCCAGATTCATATTTCATTCCTACACACAAGTGAATCAAAACGATTCACATCATTCAACCTTCAAGATCAACAACAAAAACACAGCAACAATTTTCTTAAACATCCCTTATCTTTCTTTCTTTTACTGGTCATCCCATTCATCATTCTTGTAAGACACCATTGTGTCAACCTTATGTATCTGCATCATGAAAACAACATTTTCTTATGCCTCTACAAAGATTCATATGAAATTAGAATGAAAAAGTATAAACGAATAATAAATTTATATACCTTAGTATCAAAAGAATGCAATTTCACCATTTGGGGATTTGCTATCAGTTTAGGGTCACTCTCTGTCCAAGTAAAAGGTACTGCAACATCCGTATCAGTATATGCCAACACATCAAAGATACCTGCAATTTAAACATAATCAACCAATCAATTATCCAAAAAACTAATCATACATATAAGTATACATACAAGTATATATGATATGCAATTTAAACATAATCAACCAAATCAATTATCCAAAAAACTAATCATACATATAAGTATATATGATATCCATACAAACTTTGTTAATACTTCTACTTACATGGTTCATCAAGGCAGGGCAAGTATGTAATGCTGGATGCAATCTGTCTCATAATAGCTTGAATCTCTCTCATGATTTCTTTATCACTCTTCTCCCTCGAAACCCTGGAGATTAAAAACCATTAAATTGACATGAACATAATCTATCAATGGAGGGACTAAAGTTTGTTTCAGAGATATCTTACCCTTTTTCAACAACTTCACCATCAGTCTCTATACTGAAATTCCACCTCTCAAGCACTTCATTGGTGGCCTTACTCATTATCACAAGAACAATCCTTTGTAACTTCCCAGCTTCCAGCCATTCTTTGTAATACACAGATTCAAAGCGAATCACATAAGCAAAACACAATACAAAGTTTACCAAAACTGTATGAAGATTGGGGAAAAGTGTTATCGACGATATATTGGATGTTTACCGGAAAGCTGCTTATTCAAATTTGAGATGAATGTTTTAACACCTTCGTCTTGAGAAAGCAACAATGGAAGTCCATATTTCTTCACTCTTCCAAAAGTTTCTTCCGGATAGACACCACGATTGTACAGAATACTACATATTAGCGATCAAAATTAGCATTTTCCAATCGAATCCACAGCAATCTACACCATAAAATGAGAAATCGCGCTACCAAGTCTTACCTGTTTGCTGCATAACCTGAAAAGCGGTTGCATACACGGAGAGTTATTAGCAACAAGATATTCAAAAAAAACAGATTCATGGTTTAAGGAAAAGCATCAACGAGAGACCGAGAGATTTTTACCGAAAAATTCGCTGACAATGGCTGTGGATCCGCGGAGAGTGATTATGTCTTTGCTCACAGTTCTTGAAGCCATTTCTGTAGAAACACCTCGAAGTTGATAGGTTTGCTCAAACGGATAGATATATTTCTTGTGTTTCAGTGGGGAATTTTATCGAACAGGTTAAGTGCTTTCTGAAAAAACAAATATTATGTAGAAATAGGGCTAGGGTTTAGAAATGATATAAATCGATAAACTGTAGAGCAACGGCTACTTTTGGCACTCGCTTTGTTGGGTCTGGGTATCCCAAACGGTCAACTTTGTTCAAAAGAGAAAAACGATTTGGTGCGGACGCAACGGGCAACAAGTAGGCCCCACCAATATTTTTGCAAATATTCCAAGGCATTTACTCAAATCTTTTTGGTGTTAAAATTATTTAGTAAACTGCAAAAATTGGTAATTGTGATATTCCAAAATTTGAATATACTTGAAAAAAATATTGTTCCATCTTGATTTTTTTCTATTTTCTTTTATTTACTTAATTATTTTTATAATTAAAAAAATAAAAGAAAATCTCTCTCTTCTCTCTCTGTGTGTGTTAAAGCACCATCCTCTCTCTCTATGTGTGTGTTAAAGCACAATCAAACCAACACCCATATAAAAAGAAACTTGAAAAATGTGCAAAAAAAGATTCCACGTCATGGACGCATATATACCACGACGTGGTGGTTTGAAATATTTTCGATGAACTGCGAAGAGGCTATATATATATATATATATATATATATATATATATATATATATATATATATATATATATATATATATATATATATATATATATATATATATATATATATATACTCTAAGGATGATCAAATAATTCTCAAACTCTAAGAAGATCAAAATTCAACTAGAGATATAGAACACGAAAATCACAATACATTAATTCATTTTGCTTAGTTTAATCGTACGTTAAACCTAGTTTACTTCGTTTTCATGTGACCTAAATGGGATATCGAAAGAATGAATGATTTTTACACATTTAAAATAAGAATAATTTTAATAAATAAATTTTCTAAAATATAATTAATAAAGCATTTTTGTGACGACATGAAAATCAAATCCATGATATGTGAAAATTTTGCAGTAGATTCAATCTAGTCTAAAAGCAATTGTTCTCTTCAACAACAATTTAAAAACTGGACTAATTTCGCTATTAACATATTTTACGGGTCACAGAGTTTTGTGACCCTATGGAATTAATCTCACATACAAGTTCCAAAATCGAAGATAGTTAATTGGGTTTATTAAAATTAAGGGATAATCAATGACTTATAAGTAGAGATCAACATTGGAACCGAGTACCCGTTTTTGGAACCGGAACTACCTCAGAATTGCCGATTATGGAACGGGAACCGCCTTAAGCGGTTCCGGTTCCGGTTCTTGTTTTTTCGGAACCACTACCCGCTGGAACTGGTTTATATATATATATATATATATATATATATATATATATATATATATATATATATGTGTGTGTGTGTGTGTGTGTGTTACTTAGACCGGTTTAGAATATATTGGTATGATTTTTTCCGTCTTGGTCCGAATTGATTTGATTTGGATCGAACTAAATTGCAGTTTTACCGACAAAAGTTAACAAAATTAATGTAACCGGGTTACTCGTTCTCAGAACTGGAACCGCCGGTTCCGAAACTGGTTCAAAACATTTAAGAACTACCTATAGCGGTTTCGGTTCCGGTTCTCGCTAAATGAGGTGGGTATCCGCCTATGCTCATCCCTACTTATAAGAGTAATAAACTATATGTTTTGTTCACATTTAGTTACTAAACTTGTTTTTGTGTTCAATATACCATTAAACTTGTTGAAATTGTTCAAAAAAATATTATTATAACCGGGTATAGTGGGTTTTGCCGTTTTTTAGAGTTTTCTTTAGCCAAACATGAGTTTTCCGGACATCTTTGAATTTTTCAGTCATCTACTCCAACCAAATTTGAATTTTCCGGCATTCTGCAAAACGAAAACAAACATGCGGTTGTTCATCCTAGTTTCTTCCAATGATTCACTCAGTAAAATAAGAACACATCCATGGACATACACATTCAAGAACACAAATTTTACAATTTATAGGTTCATGTTCATATCTTCTTGATGATTCTGAAACCCATATTTGCACACATAAACACCAAGAACACACAGTGGGGAAGATGACCGGAAAATTCAAAAGTTGGCTGGAAAAGACATGAAACTAGCAAAACTCACTATACCCCGGTCATAATGGTATTTTTTTGAACAATTTCAACAAGTTCAATGACATACTGAACACAAAAATAAGTTTAGTGACTAAACATGAACAAAACATATAGTTCGTTAACCTTACAAGTCATTATCCCTAAAATTAAATAAAAGTTATTCAAAGCTAAGCGATTCCAAAGTCATAAAGAAAAAACACGACCAAAATAAAACCACCGGGACACAATGATTGACTTCATCCATAAAAAAAAGTTTAGGCATGGAGAGTTGTATCATGCATGTGGTGAATCAGATCAATAACACGTGAGCTGCAACATGTACAAAAGGTAAATGTTGATCAAAATGTGTGCGTATAAGAGTATTTTCACCTTGAATAGGTATCTTGTATATTAACCAATATATATAGTACAAAGATACAACATATAAAGTAACAAACTAGCCTAACATATATAGATACAAGAAATATTTTCTAATTATTCTAATTTATCTTTAATACCCCCTTCAAGTTGAGAGGTGGTGGACCAACATGAAGCTTGGCTCAAAATTGCTCAAACAAGGGACAAGGAATACTCCTCACAAAGATGTCGGCTAGTTGTAGATGAGTAGGAATATACCGAGTAACCAATTTACCCGAAGTAACAAGCTCTCGAATAAAGTGATAATCGATGTCAATATGTTTGGCTCGCTTGTGAGAAATGGGATTTTGACTGAGAAACAAAGCGCTCTTGTTGTCGCATACTAGAGCAGGTATTGAGGATAGCAGAGCATGTAAGTCATTCAAAAGATTTGAAATCTAGACTATTTCAGCAGCAGTGTTTGCCATAGCACAATACTCAGATTCACAACTGGAATGAGAAACAGTAGGTTGTTTTTTGGCACTCCAAGAGACTATGTTACCACCAAGAAAGATGGAGTAACCATAGGTTGAGCGTCTGGTTTCAATGCAACGAGCCCAATTAACATCAAAGTAGCCAAGTAAAGATTGTGACTTGGGATACTAAAAATGCATACCATAAGAGATGGTGTTTTTGACGTAGCATGAATTCTCTTCACTGCTTGAAAATGGTCGATCGTAAAAGCATGACAAAACTAACTAACTTGATTGACTACATAGGAGAGATCTGGATAAGTGAGTATTGCAGTGCTCCAACTAAGGATCTATGAAGTGTAGGGTCAGTGAAAAGAGTGTCATGCGATGTAAGAACTTGAGCCGTGGACAAGGGTGTGAAAACTAGTTTTGCACCAATTAACCCTTCACAACTCAAAATATCATGAGTGTATTTGGTTTGTGTGAGAAACAAACCATCAACATTGTAAGAGACTTCATGATCAAGAAAGTAATTTAGGGGACCATGATCTTTAGTGGTAAACTCCTTGTTGAACCGCTGAATAAAATTGATTGATTAAAGAGGGATCATTACCTGTCAATATAAGATCATCAACATAAACAATCAAATAAAGTAGGATACGCCCTTTCTTGTGTATAAAAGGAGAGGTATCCACACAACTGCAAGCAGAACCAAGACTTATAAGAAAAGTGCCTAAACGTTGGAACCAATCCCTTAAAGTCTGCTTTAAGCCATAAAGTGCCCTCTTTAAACGACATACATGATGCGGAAACCTTTTCCATTTAGAAAGGAATTTTTGACATCAAGTTGATGCAATGGACATATATTTAAGGTTGTAAGAGATAGAACAATGCGAACAGTAGCTACTTTGATAACGGGGCTAAATGTGAGAGAGTAATGTTGACCCGAAATTTGAGTGAAACCTTGTGCAACAATGCGGGATTTAAGATGTTCAATACTACCATTAGAGTGAAACTTAGTTCTAAAGACCCATTTAGAACCAACGACGTTGGAAGAAGTGGGATGAGGAACTAATTCCCAAGTGTCATTAGCCTTCAAAGCATCCATTTCAGACTATTTACATTTTCTTTACTGGGCCTAACCAGCTTGGCCCAATAACCCTATAGTGGCCCAAGGCCCACAAATGGCCCAAATCACAACCTAAGGTCCAACTATGGCCCAACAAATACAAAGCCCCAAAATCCAGATAAGGCTCAAAGCTCAAAAGAAGTCAAAGTCCAAAAGGGACCAAAACAATAAAAACCCACTTCACAGCGTACACCTTGTGTACGCATACAAACATGGACTCGAAAATGGGCACTCGCCTAGTACGCCGAGAAAACAAGGGTCGTTGATCATCGGGACACTGACGCTAGCAATGCTTCGTCAGTTTTGTTCTAGTGCGTAACCGATGATGAAGATGATCGGTGATGGTCGGGTTCTAATCTCTGTCGGTGATGGTCGGGTTCTGATCTCCGTCGACGACACTTGCTCTGGGGTTGTTGCCGGCGAGTTGAGATGGGACGGGGGATATTAATTTCTCGATCTCCTAATGAAGAAGATGGACCAGTGTATCTAATATTTTTTTTCCTTTCCCTTAATTATGTGGGACCTATGTGCTTGATGTTTTTTTAGACATAGAGAACTAGGTAGTTTTATACACTGATGATTGTTCCAACTGTCTTCCCTTATATATATATATATATATATATATATATATATATATATATATATATATATATATATAATTTGGTCGGTTAAGGGGTGACCAATTTTACCCAACACCATTATTGTAATATCTTTTTATTTTGGGTAGAGAGACAAAACACACTATTCTTTTACCTTTTTTTTTTTTGAATAATTTGTTCACTTGTTGTGCAAAAAATAGAAAGAGTAAACTGAAGTGGTGGGGTAAAACTTTGAGGTAAGATGTCGAAAAATGATATGATGCATTTTGATAAGGGCATAACCGATTTTATTTTTGGAGGTTGTAAGAAATGTATAAGCTACACATCAGTGTTTACAAACAGATGTTGCAGGTTGTGAAGCTGTACACATAAATTCTTAACTAAAAACGATTTTTTGGTAATATGAACTTGATAAAAGGATAAAAACTTGTAAAAGTTCATTCTCTCCTCCCTCAAATTGCTGAAAAATCCACCAAAATGTAAACAAAAAACATATCTTAAAAAATTATCGTTTTCCTTCCTTAAGCTTAAAAAGAAAACACTAAATAGATAGCTTCAAACGAGTTATACACAAACTAAAGGTGATTTCTTAGAAAGATAAATTGGAAATAAGGTAAATAATTACAAAAAAAAAAAAAAAAAAAAATTCTCCTCTCAAGTTGGGAGATAAAACACCAAAATATGTATAACGCCTGGTTCCTGATACATATTTAA